GAATCAGCTGCAAAATTTCTACAAGCTATGGAAACAGCTATGAATCCATTAACAGCAAAACAAACATTGAACAATAATAATAACAATGAACAAACTCGAAATGAACATGACTTTGGAACAAAAACTACATCAGCTATTGTTAAAGATGAACCAAATGAATCTTAGTGAATTTTCTACTGATATAGACCGGTGATGAATCATCTAATTTTGTGCTTTATTCATTCATCTACACATAATGTGTTTTCTGCTTTTAATTCCACTTCTTCTAGATTTTTGACAACTATGTATGAATTGACGTTTTTTTTTTCTTCTTCAACTTTTTGAATGTTGTTTGCTTGTCAAATTCGAAAATCAAGCGAAAAACAAAACTGTGGTGAATGTCAGTGTATGTCTGTTTCTTGTTTCATTTGTTTTATTGGGAAAAATAAAAATAAACTTTATCAAAACTATTTATTATCAACATTAAGTACATTTTATATAATATTTTCTTTTATATTGATTCGTGTTTTTCATGATTCATGTGTCTTATTGAATAACTTTTTGTTTAACTGTTTCAACAGAAAACTATGAGTAATTGATTGATTTGTAAATATTTATTTACTTTCTCTAGTTTTATTTCTAATTTTTTTTTTGTTTAATCAAGAGTTTATATATATAAAAGTATTTATTAAAATTTTTCAGAATATGAATCTGTACGGGAATCTTCAAAATATCTATTAATGTTAAATAAAAATATTCATTTTGTGTTTTGTACAAATCTGATATACTTAAAAAAAAAAATTTTTACACAACATGCAAAGATTCTGAGTTTGCATTCACATGAAGAAACTTTTTAGAGTGTAGCAACGGAACAAGAAAAACTAACAATTGTTGAGTAAGTTTCCAAAGCAGTCGAGGACAACACACGTCAGATTTCTTTAATAATGAAAAAAGGTGCTGAACGATATTAACAAAAAGCTTTAGACTATTCTAAAACCTTCCTATTTAAGATGTCAATCAGAGATAGTTATATAGTATCTTGAAACACTAAAATTCGAATCATATTTTGCTCGACAAAGCTTATTTCCACAAGTCAACAATGAATAGTCTAGAAACATATTCACTAGATTGGTCATGGTTTGTATTGTCGTTGAAAAGAAACTTATATTCAATTATGAAATGACTAAAGTGAAATGAATTATCACATGCATGGGAGTTTTGTTATTGAGACTAAATTTTTCTTCTCATAACAAGATGTTTATAGCATGAGTATAAATTTGTCTGTCCTATAACTCTTGGATATCGTGTAAGAAAAACGTTATCGAAATAATGTCAATAAAAGCAAACAAAAATAAACATTAAAAAAGTGTCATTTATAAAGCGACAGTTAAAAAAAAGCCACTTTTAGATACTTTTTTTTGTTAGCGGCATATCAGGTCCTTTTACAAAGATGCAGTGTATGAGATCCATAGTTGGTTTTTTGAGTTTGGTTATCATTGGTTTATTATTTATTGGTAAAAGTGAATCAACTCCATTGGATGATTATGTTCATGCAGCTGATTCACATTTTGGTTGGACTGTAATTCGAACTTATGAACAACCTGATTATATTTTATATATTTTGAATTTTACATCACAACAATGGCTCGATGGTAAGTCATTTGATTTTTATTTTCGTATCAATAAATATTCTCTCTTTAACTATATCTTGAATAGAAACAGTCACAGATCATCCTATTTGGTGGCATTATTTATGTATTACAGTTCCACATAAATTTACACGACCAAATAGTGCTTTTTTGTTTATCGATGGTGGTCATAATAGTGATTCGTGAGTATTATGATACATATATGTTGAATAAATAAATTTTTTTACATTAATTCTAGAATACCTAAACCAGAAGATAATTTACTTTCTTTAACATCAATGTTTGCTATTAGTTCTGGAAGCTTAGGCGTTTATTTGGCAGATATACCTAATGAACCATTTCGTTTTCGAGTAATTTTGATTGTTAATGTTATTTTTTTCAATAAGAACAATTGACATTATATTTCATAGGCTGATCCATCAAATCGAAGTCGTAGTGAAGATGGTCTTATTGCATGGACATGGAAAGCATTTATTGAAAACCCAAGTAATCCTTATATACTTCTTCGTATGCCAATGACTAAAGTACAATTTAAGAAAAAGAATTCTATTTTAGTTGAAATAATTTATGTTCGTTTTTTTAGGCATCGGTTCGAGCAATGGATGCTGTACAACAATTTGCAGATAAATTGGGTGCTCCTGTACCAAAAACATTTGTTGTTGGTGGTGCTTCAAAAGTAAATAGATTTTTAATTGTTTATCTTGTATTTATTCTTATCTATTTTCTAAATTATAGCGGGGATGGACAAGTAAAAGATTTTTATTTATTTTATTTTTGCTTTTTTTAATTGATAAAAAATTCAGCTTGGACAACGGCGGCAGTCGATAATGAACGTGTTGTTGCAGCAATACCAATTGTTATGGATATACTCAATCTTCAAAAAGTAAATAACCTATGTAAACAGTCGATTTATATTGATATGCTTTGTTTTTTTGTTATGAAACACAATCTAAAAGAAGTGTTTCAGTATACAGGATAGATATTTATGAGTAATCGGAGTTTTGTCACACAGGCTACGACAGACGTTGTTGATATATGAACAAAGACGGAATATCCATAACGTCTCGTCATAATATGAACAAAATAATTCTTTATCAACGTGACTTTCAAAAAATTAAAACACGTGTATCTTGATATAAGGAATTTCTCTTGAAGTAATTTTTATATTGTTTGATGTGTGCAAAGTTACCCTAGATACCTTGAAAAAAATTAGCACTACAAATTTTTGTTCAGAGAATTTATCACCAAAAAACTAGGCATCAAATTTCATTTGATGTATTTCAGTTTTAGAACAAACTTCGAATTGAAGAAATATTTTTGAAAACTAAACAATACATTCTGTAGATAAATCCTGATGCTAGAAAACCTCTATCTAAAATTTTTTCAGAGCATATCTAGAATCTTAAAAAAAAACAATATCGATTTACTTTTCGTACGTGAAATGACAGAGTATCAAAAATTCTCTTATTAAACGAATCAAAATTTTCAAAACTAACTTTAAACAATATAAACCCTTCTTCAGGATCTCAACGTGATTGTAAAAAGAAAAAAACAATGTTTCATTTTGGAACATCATAGAATCTCTAGAAAGTTGATTTTAGAAAAATGATTCTTGTAAATAATCAAAGTCAAATCAAAGATTATTATTTTGTATTTTGTTTGAAATGACTCATATATAAATTGCTATCTTATTGCATTTGTAATGAATAAATAAAACAATGATGAAGAGATTGTGCTAATAACTTTTTTTTTTGTTTTAACTGTAGAATATGCATCACCATTATCGAGTAAGTGTATTGAATAATTGTAAATGTATTGCATGGTGTTGAATTCATCTTATAGTCTTTAGCGGGTTGGACTTTTGCATTTAATGATTATTATGATTTAAATATTACTCAAAATGTTGATAATCCAAATTTAAATAAAATGGCAGATGTTATTGATCCATATAGTAAATTATCATTAATCATATTTACCTTTTAATATGTATAGATTTATGTATATAGGTTATTTTGACCGATATAGAAACATGAAAATATTACAAATACAAACAGGTGGTGATGAATTTTTTCTACCAGACAATGAAGTACAATAATTCATAAAAAGACCATTTAAAAATACATATATATATATATTATCCTATTGAATTATTTCTAGGATGCATTTTGGAATGATTTACAAGTAGCTACTGGTGGTTCATATTTAAGGTAGTTTGAATCTTGAGGTTATTTTGAATATTTTTTTTTTTACATAAATTAAAAGACGAATACCAAATGCTGAACATTCATGTGCTGGTCATGAAATTAGTCTCTTTTTTACCATGCGAAGTTTCTACTTGAGTATCTATGATGTAAGTTAATTCTATATATTTTCAATCAATTCATTTCTTCTTATCTTAAGAAACAACCATTACCATCATTTAAATGGACAAAAACATCAAACAATACACATGGTTATATTCGTGCTGTAGTTGATTTTAGTGTTGGTCCGAAACCAATCAATGTTCTGGGTTATCATGCTCGTACACTTAATGATAAACGGTAAATACATAAGTAACAATGACTTGAATTTATAAGTAATCTTTCTATCTATCTAATAGACGAGACTTTCGGCTAGTAATTGCCGATCCAAATAATCCAGGCAAAGCTATTGCAAATCCAGTTATTTGGTTAAAAAATAATGTTGTAATCGAGGTAAATTATATTCATCTTGTGTCAAATAGTTTTACAATATTTCTTAAAATCATTTAGGCACAAACTTCTACAACCACTGTATATTCATTAACGATTGCCAATCCTTTGAAAGGTTGGGAAGCTTTTTTTATTCAAGCAAACTTTCCTGGCCCAGATGGTACAGCACTTGAACTTACAACAGAAACACAAATTATTCCGGATACATATCCAACTAGTGATTGTCATGGTACTAGTTGTGCTGGCACACTTGTTTGATTTTTCTTCGTGTGTATTGAAATTTTATTAAATGAGAAGAAATAAAATTGATTAAAATCATTATTTTTTCTATTTTGAATAAACCTATTGATTATTTTATTAATGAAAAAACAGTAAATAAATATGATGTAATCTATATTGAAAAAAATAAAGGATACATATATATGTATATCCTTATGTATTTCTTATAAAAAAAAATTATTGTCAATTTTTCCTACATATTGTTTTCATATAATTGACAATGAACATACATGATCTTTTCCGATTTTTTTTTTCTATCCATACAAAAAAAAAGATTAAAATAATAACAAAAAAAACCTCGTTTCAGTTGATTATTGATTTCGTTGTTTATCGAATCCACAATATAAATTTATGCTAAGATATATTAAACTATTTCTACGTATTAATCATTCAATTAATATGTTTATTGAAGCCATGATAAATATAGAAGACTATTTAATTTTGGACGACGATTTCCATTTTTACTTAAACATTGTTTCATTGTTTGATATGCTTGTTTATCTGGTGAACTTAAAAATGGTAGATTTAAGTGACTATCAACAATTTCAGCTTTTGAACGGAATGGATATTGTTGAAAAAGTAAAACATAAAGACAAACGCCTAATGTCCATACACATGCTTGTTCACCATCATAACGTCTTTCCAATATCCATTCAGGTGTCATAATTTCTAATGTACCCTTTAATAAACGAGAAAAAAAGAAAGCAAATATAATTAATAAATTTGAAATAAAAGATTATAAAACAAACTTGAAATTCATGAAAATCTCCACCTCGTGCAGGTGCAGCTGAACCAAAATCGATAAAACGTAATGTTCGATCATTTCTACAATAAAGTATATTTTCAAGTTTACAATCACGATGCCAAACACCATAACTTTGTAATGACATATTAATACGAATTATTTCTCGAAATATATGTCTTAATAATTCTGTATTAGCTAATGGAGGACATTCCATGACAAAATTGAAAAGTGTACATGAATTTGGGATTTTTTCCATTATAAATACATAACGATCTGTTTCTTCAAAATGATCATATATAGTTATAATACCAGGTAAACCGCGAAGACGCCAAAGAATTTCAATTTCATATGGAACACGTTTCTATTTAAAAAAATATTCATTTCGTTTTTATATTCTCCCATATCGAATTACATACGCCTTGAAATACACCCCAATTAAGAATGCGATGTTTTGGTAAGAATTTCACAATAACAGGACTATTGTCTGATTTTCGTCGTCCATCAAAGACTTCACCGAAACCTCCTCTACCAAGACAACAGAACACTTGATAATCACGATTGAGTGTGTTTGTCATTTTCTTCGGTTTCATCATTGCATTTTCAATAACTGATGCACGATTAGACTGAAAACGATAAAAATCAGATATATTATCACCAGTAAATGTCCGTGACTATAGAAAGAAATATATAATAGAGATTAGTAGATTAAAAAAATTCTTACCAATCGATCGACAACTGGATGGGTATAATCCCAAAATGAATTCTTCGAAACACTGCTATTACTGTAAACCAGTTGTGGAGGCGGTGGCATAGGCCATGGCGTAGTTTGTCCTCGCCATAAATCATTAATAAACCAACGAATCATATCTGTTCTGTAAATAAAAACAATATAGATGATGATCTTGTTTAAAAAAAACCACAAAAAAATAACACTGATACAAGATAATATTTGTGTTTATCTATGATGAAATACTACATTCGTAATCATATATTTTTGTATAGTATACAAAACCTCAAATATTATTGTACCGATAGAAAAAATACCACAGGTCACTCATATTCGTTAACAAAAAATGAAACAATATGCACTATAGACCCTCCTATATACGTTGGTTTACGCTTCAGTAAACAATATGAAAATGACGATTAATTACAATCAGTACCGCATATTTATGTACATATATATATATAAACATAGGTATTGACAATAATAAAATCTTATTTCTTATTCTATCGAATAATCGAATGAATTTGCTTTAAGAAAAAAAAATAAAGGAGAAAATATGTTTGAATGCTCTGTTATTTAAGTAACTTTTTTTCTTTATGACACTATCCTTGCCGCCCACATTATTCATATGATTAGCCAGCATATCATAGCTGGTTAATTGATAAACATCAATTTCTGCATATTCATTTTCTTTTTTTTTTCTTGCATGCTAATCGACTAGTTGAATAGACAAGCAATGTCTCTCATTGAGGATAAACATGTGACAAATCTGTCATGCAAGTCGCCGGTGTCTAACAAACGATTTGTGTCTTGTTCAATGTTGTCAATACAATATGTAATAATAAAAAGGAGAAAGAATTGATGCATGATGATTGACATCAATGAAGGCATATGATAATCATTACTTTAAAATTCATTTGTCAATATTGAAAACGTATTCTGTCATATCTTGAAACAAGAGACTCAACTACTATGAAGAAAAATCCTCGTTTCTTTAGCGTAAAATATTGAGATAAAAATCATTTTTGTAGCATCAAATATGTATTAATACAGGTGTGATAAGACATGCCTAGTCGTTATCTTGATTGCTTAATTTTCTGCAGAATATCGTTTTTAGTCTACCAAAAATATCATATGATTGTGAAAAATGTCATTAAGCGATGAAATGTTTTATGCATATTATTATAAAATACCTTAACGACATTGATTAATTAGAAAAATTCTCAATAATTAGAACAAATGATTAGATTGACAGGTTTTATACACACATATATTATTATATCATTATCATAGAATCCTGTAAAAAGAATTCTTTCGTGTTCGAAATCTTATTTTTGGTTTTATTCTATCCTTCATTTTTGAATAAAAACCAGTGTAGCATTAAGGACGTTCTTGTTTTGTACTTATTATTTAAGTAAATATAAAACAGGATAAACATTCATCGATAAAGTCTGGATTATGTAATAATGAAGTTAAACGTAGAAATAATTTTTCAAAAAAAAAAAAAGAAAGTATATACTTTCTTCAGGTCAAAGTGTAAACGCAAAGTGAAAAATGAAGGTTAGTATTTATTTATGCAGGATGCACATCAGTAACAACTCATAGATAATAGCATATGAAAACCACCTTGATTATTGTTTTTGTGATCTGATTCTCAAGGTTTTTTTGTGCATTTTTTCTGCTCTTTTCTATGATTATTGGTTGATTTGATGGTTGACGAGCGGTAATATTCAGAAACAATGATTTGTATAATTTTGATATCTCATATTATTTTTTGTGACACATCAATAAAACGTATAAAAGTAATATAAAAACATATTGGCAAAAAAAAAAATACAGCATGTCAATGTATTAATCATGCACTTTGTCTTTCAAGTGATGGCGATGAAACAACAAAGTCTATTATGAATCTTGGCGAACAAAGAAGAATGATTGACGTAAAATAAATTTCGATGCAACATGCGCAAAATGAGAAAAGAAAAGCATATTACAAAGTTGAAATAGTGCTTTTGAAAAATATATAGTGTTTATTAAAGGTCATCTTTACTCTTCAAAATTGAAACTTCAACCGATATCAGTTCTTTTTTTCTATACAAAATTGGATCTCCGATCAATTCTATAATAGTGAATTGAAACTTTATGAATCTATCAAGATAGTTCAGTATGACAGCTCGAAAAAAAAAATGTGAGTCCTATTTCTTATAATCTACCTTAGCTATAATAATTTTGCTACGCACGGCAGAAAAATTAACGAGTCTTCCGAATCTTCAAGGTCATTCGACTATTTCGAAAGAATGAATCAATATTTTTTTTATTTTAAAGGTGATCCTTAATAAAATAGATTTGAATCAAAGAAGAAAAGTATTTTCATAGAACTTTGCGGTTTAATCGAGTAATGCACATTTTGAAAAAGTTAACAAAGAAGAAAATAATTTAAAAAAAGCAACTAAATCTGTCTCTTGAACCAGTAGTAGACACCAAGAAGTCCTAGAATTGTTATAACTTTGATAGATGATAAGGAATGATGCTAAATTTTTTTGTGTATGATTAGAGAGCCTCAATACCATGTGACAACTTGAAGATCCTATTTTGACGAGAAGGAGAACCTGAACAAATAAATGGGATGTTTGTCTGTAGACGTGTCATTACTAGTGATGTTCAGGATTGGGATATGAGAAAAAAGTTTCCGAGATCAGAACTCAAGTTTATAGTAAAATATTCTATAGTATGACCAAAAATTATCTTATTAATCATATGAATCAGTACGTAGTTCAAGAGGAATAATCTCAAAAAAGTACTAGCTGTCGTCTAAATAAAAAAGACAAGTAGTGAAGAATTACTTTAGGAGCAGCTCTAGTCCTAATGCGTTGAGTAGATTAATACTAAGACACACAATTACTGTTTACTATATATATACACATACATTTAGAATACGTTTGCAAAAGATAATATTTTCTTTTTTTTTATACTGGGAACTGTTTAAAATATAATTTTCGAATTAAAAAGTAGTTTCATCAATAACAAAATCTATATGGTGTTAACGGATCTACAACAATTAATCGAAAGATAATTGGACGCTATGACAAATAATCGCAATGCAGACTTCGACGTAATGAAAAAAAACTAAAATTCTCAAGAAATTTATTATTATTGTAAGGAAATAAATTACAAAAGTCAAGATAACGATTAAAAATATATTCAAGGTCAACGAACATGATATATGAGTATAAATATAAATATATAATTTTTGTTTATTCTTCGGCTTTCACTATTTCCTAATAGATATTTCTGTACATATCTATTTTATGAGGTATATCTCGATCTTTTACATGCCATTCTCATCCTCACACTATGTTATGTACGATTAAATCACATAGATATAAATTGAGATTAGTGAAATGCAAAAAACGAATTACACTTTTATTAAACATGCCATCAATTGTTGCTTTCTTGATGTTAACATCTATATTTTAATAATCAAAAATAACAATATGCAGTAAAACTTCTCTTTAACGAACACAATTGGGACTTGTAACAAGTTTCAGAATATAAACTTCTTTACTAGTTTTAAAGTAATAAGAGATTATTTGAATAGTCAGCAATCGAAAAACAAAAAAATTTCAACACAACATAAAACTTTGCTTTGTTTCATGAAGTCTTATATTATTGAATTAGATGAACGTTGTTATAGAATTGATTTAGATCATTTTTTTTTCAAAAATGACGAAAATGAGAGGAAGAAAAAAAACGTGCACTTATGTTCATTTTATTTATCCAATATAATTTAGAAAAATATAAAATTCTACTTGAAAAAAGCAATACAAAATCAGCTTACACTGACATATAGAATGTCTTTGGTATATAGATAAGTAATCGATGTTGTGTTTATAAATGATCTAAGTATCAAATTGAATGTTTCTTGATGATCATATCTGGTTTTGTTCTTTTGTACCAGAAACAAAAGATTAAACATAGCAACAATTAATCCATAAATCAACTTTTTCTTCTTTGATAAATTCATACACAATGATATCGTACCAATCCATACCGGATACATATGTGATATACGTACAGAATATAGATCACCAGAGAGCTATTTTCTTTGATTTATACAGCTGTTAAGATGAATAACAAGATTCTTCACATAACGAGTGAATCAGAATAAATGACCGCATTTTTACATATAATTTTTTAAGCAAATTATACCACAAGATACATCATGAAAAACTTTACAATTAATAAAAACAGTTTATTTTATGTATGCACCTGTAGTTTTCAAAATAGACAAAATTTCTATGTGAACAAAATTTTTAACTTTATTCTATGGACTACGTTTGATAAATCATTCACATAACTACTGTTCGTAGGTCTTCCGATTTCATTTCTGTTTATTGACTGACATATATAGATGTAGTTTATTATTATAATATTTGTATACTCTAGCAGAAAGCAGAGTGAATGAAAAAAAAAATATAATGTTTTTTTCTGTTTTGAAAGTTAAAGATGCATATATAAACTAAACTTCGTATTGTAGATTGTAGAGCTTTTCACGCTACATCTTGCAGTATATTTTGTTCATAAGATGATGAAAAAATAAAATATAAAACTGTAGCTATTTATTCTGACTCACCAGTTATTTTGTGAGTTATAGAATTACCCAAAATTGCAAACACTTTTCTCTTTTGATTATCAATTTAACAAAATAATAAATAAAGTTATATTTAAACTTTACTGAAACAGTGATATATTAATAAAAAAGAAAAACGTAACTAAATAATTGAATGATATTCATCTAAATGATATTAAACATATGTAAAATAGATGTACATATTAAAATAGTAGCGGCTTGTCTCAAACAATTACTTTTGTTCAAATTGTAGTTGTCTGTTGAGCTTATCGAATCCATTGATCGGACACAAGAGAGTGAAAGTAAGAGACAATTGTCTGATGTACTCGTGTCCAATATTGCATCTATTCCCCAACCATAAATGATAATCTTACCGGATACTCTTTCTATTCTTACACCGAGGTGTCACTTAACACAAATATAAGCATGCGTGCGTGCACCATTGAATTCAATTGAGATACATATATATATATATAGAAAGAGTGAAGAAGAGAAAGAAGAAGTAGTAAGT